GAAATTTACAATTATCAACAAACCGTATTTTCAGTTAAAATAATCTATGTTTATTTATATTTACAGCGTATATTTTTTCTATGTAGATGTTTTTATTACTGGTCTAAACATAACAATAAAATAATCAGAATATAACAAACTGGTAATATTGAATTTAACTACCTTAGAAAATTAAAATATCGAATTATCTGTAATAATAAGGCGTATTCTTGTAACACACATACACCTTATATAAGGAGTTTGAAAATTATATCATGACTAAAAGGGTGTGGTACAACAAAATGTCACGTTCACGAGACATTTTCCAATTTGAACAGACTCTGTATAAATGAAATAATTAAAACCCGAAACTTACAGTGCAAAACATACATACGGTGACGCTTTTAACTTATATATCCCGCCATTCTCATTAATGAGCGCCGACAGCTGAATGTTCTTGACACCCCTTGTCTGATAACCGTTCGATAAGTTCTTTGGATATTATAATATTACAGGATTTTCGAAAATATGATTGTAATTTCATTTCTACAATCACCGACCGTGCGTGAAGACGATCACGTATGTAATTATGCATACCAGTATTATTTTATTTGTTTTTCCCACTGCTACAGAACAATTAACTGTAATATATTAATCGAATAGTTATGGGATATATTGATAATCAAACTAGCATTAAATGATCGAATTATAAAAAATAGAATAAGTCCATATGAAATATTCTCTTTAGAGTATTATTATTCCTTTAAATATTGTACTTTTAACTATTTTATTTATACTTGGTATTATTATCGTTATAACTATTTTTATCTAATACACGTCTAAATATAGCTTATTTAATTGAAATTAAATAAATAGTGGTTATTATTTATATAAAATCACATCAAAGTATGATACTTAATATCGTTTACGGTAATTATATTATCGTGGTCTTATGTAATAAAATAACAGCTCGTGAATAACAATTATAATTCGATATATCAAACTACTAGTACAATCAGCAAAAAGCAACATTGTGAATGTCAAAATGATGTTCATAATCAATAAATATGTGTCATATGATTACGAACATTATTGGTACATGTAGCAGAGTTTTCAACAACTCCACAGTTCGTGGTTCCCAATGATCCGGTGTAGACCGAATTCAGACCAGTTTTCTCGGATAATAAATCAAAAGCCTAACCTTAAGACTAATTTTAAGGGACTCGGTTCTACAAAAAAAACTTAAATCTTGATAGGCTCCAACTGGAGCTTAGGTAACAAGCCCATATTCTCGTACTATTACAATGGGACTGACGATTTATATTACCTGAAATACAAAGTATAATAATAATCTAATATTCAGGGATGGCCAACCTTTTTCTAAAAAATTAATAAGTATTATTTACTTTACAATAAAATATTTATTTTTTTTCATACATTTACATTCAAGATTATTTTTATGACAATTGTGACAAAAACGTGGACACATACATAATTTTGGAAATTAAGTTACCAGACAATAAGCATTTCTTACTCATGTACTTGATGCAGTTAAGAACGAATGTACAAATAGGGTAAGTAATATTAAAACGATAGCAGTGAACAATTATGATAAGGAAAACAATACTGTTATTGCTTCGGCGACAACATCAGTTTCAGTTATAGCATCAGAACAATTACCAAATGTATAGGTTTTAAAAATAACTATTCGCAGACTTAAGAGTAGAGAAACTGGATTACCTCCAAAATTCTAAATCTTTATCTGATTTACAAATTCCTGAACTCTACCAAGTGACTTCTAATGGAAAACCATTTTTATTGTATCACAGTGGACTAAGAGATAAACGTTTATTATTTTTTTTTTTTAACACAACAGAACTTAGATCCCATGAAAAAGTGTTAACATTAGTTTGATGATGGAACGTTTTCTACTATTCCCACTCTATTAACACAAATATATACAGTTCAAAGTATGTAATGCGGTAGCGTACTTTCTTCATTATTATTGGTACTACAGGATTAAAATGAAAACAATTATAATCGCTTTTTTGAAGCTCTTAAAAACCCAAAATATGGAATTGATAAAAAATATATATTGATCGATTATGAAAAAGCTGCAATTAATTCGATATCTAAACATTTTTTTCAACAAAGAAATCAGAGAACGTTTTCATCATTTTTCCGAGCAGTCTAGAGACATGTGCAAAGTTGTGGACATCAAGCAAAATACTCAGAAAATTCAGAATTTTCTCAACAAGTTAGTATGTTATTGTTCACATACTACTGACATGGTAGTAGATCCTTTTAGATCCATTTTAGATCCTTCTGATCTAAAAGATCAAGGATCTAACTAAAGATAATAAACTTTCCAGGATAATAAACACCCTTCTCCGTAACAGACAATATTGTGTAGAACTCGAAGAAAAGGTTAGTAGGTGGAGAATTTAAAAAAATGGTCTCCTACAAGGTAGTCTTTTAGCTCCCATATTCTTTAACATATACAATAATGACTAGCCGATATCAAACATTTCATATACGCTGACGATACAAACCTAGCCACCCAAGATGACAACTTCCAAGATGTTGAAAGTACATTAGAGGAATCACTCAGGGTAATATCTGATTACTACGAAGAAAATTTCCAAAAGCCGAATACAACTAAGACACAAGTCTGTGCTTTTCATCTTAAAAACAGTAAGGCAGACTGAACACTGAAAATTGAATGGCGTGGTACTGTATTAGAGAACTCTGCACATCCCACATACCTAGGGCGTTATGCTAGATCAATCACTAACGTATAAACACCACTGTGAGAAAACTAAGCAAAAAATTGCTACAAGGAACAATATACTTCGGAAACTCACTCTACGTAGGGGGCCAATGCACATACATTACGTATATCTGCACTGTCACTTTGTTTCTCTGCTGGAGAATATGCCAGTTCTGTATAGGGTAGGTCCTTCCACACAAAACAAATGGATATCATTCTGAATGAATCCCGCCATTTAGTAACATGTTGTCTTAAAAATACTCCACTTCCAAAAATTTACCAACTTGCTGGTATTTCTCCACCAAACATCCACCGAGAAGTCGCAGTAGACTGGGAAAGAACCAAAGCAGAAACTGACATACGACACCCATTACATAGCCAAAATATACTTAATTTCAGACTTAAATCCAGAAAGAGTTTTCTAAAAACGTCAAAAATTTAAAATAAACACCCTGAAGAGGTACGAAGAGAAAGGTGGAAACTCTCTCACACCAAGAAAAACAATAAACTAGCCAGCAGGACACAAATTAGACTGGCCAACCTGGAGATCCCTTAATATACTCAGAGTAGGAGTGAGCAGATCTATAAACAACCTAAAGAAATGGGGTATCCTTCAAGAGATCTCAACAATATGCGAATGTGATATGGAACAAAACATGGAACACCTACTGGATTTCCAAAGCTGCCCATTTCCTGTACGAAAGAAAACATTTTGTCAGCAAATCCAAATGCTACCGAAGTAGCAATATTTTGATCAAGGGTAATCTAAAACTAAAACAAACATACGAACTTTGATAACTATGTTATCATAAATAACAATAAATTCTATTTATATTTCTAATTATATTCGGTAACCAATAATTGGTACATAAATTATAAATATTATAAATATAAATACATAAATTATTTATGTATTTTGTTATATTTTATTATTTATATCCATATAGACACTGATTGTATATATTTATTTTTAATTATCTAATTATAATTTATTACCAATTGTTTGTGTTCATCTAATTGTGGTTGTACGATATGAAAAAAAAAAAAAAAAGAAGAAATGGAACAAAATATTAATTGTTTGAAATTTTATTTATATTAACAGTAAGTATGTGTGATTTTATAATTTGCAATTGACATGGATATTAAGCAAATGACTCCATCTATATTATAGGTATACAATTTAAACGTATCGGGTTCAATCCAAAATCTATTTAAATATCAATTTAAAAAAAATTGGGTGTTCTCAACATTTTCTTTCGTATAAACCTTTTCCTTGAAATTACAAATAACTAAAAATATTTTGAGCCTAATTGGACCAGCTGTTCTCAATTGTTGTACCACTATACAATTTTCACATTATTCTTATAACTTTATAAGATTACCGTATTATTTTATGAGTTTATCTCGATTTATTAAATTAATATTTGACTTTCTTTTTTCTGATGCAGTATTACGAACTTCCAAGATGTCTCTACAGTCAAGTAATTTAATTAATCCACATATTTGTATTTATCTTTTTTTATTTTTTAGATGTTAATTATACTACAAAAAAAAAAAAAAATCCTTTGTACTCCAGTTTCCTAATCTCAGTCATAAGTTAGTGACCGTATTTATTAAGTTCATGATTACGATGCTTCGGCCAAAAAATTCGAGAAACGTCTCATATTTTTGGTCATCGTAAAGACATGGTAATTTTTACTGGTAACTAAATCATAATCGTACAAATTTCAAAATAAAACTAATTTAATACTATCATACAGAAATCCCTTTATCAACAGTGAAGATGATTGATGATTCAATAAACGTTCGCCCAGTTAGATGTGTTCACATGTTATCACAAGAAACGGAAGCAATTTTTCCTCAATATCTATATTCAGGAAAGTGTTTACATATACTCTTCGAATAAAAAACTTTATTCAAAACACTTATAAGTTTTATTGTACCTACGGTAATTGCCATAGTATCTATATTTTATTGAAATTGGTGATACACTATAAGTTTGTCTATGGCTATGACCAAGTATCTAAATATTAAGCGTACATATTCATTTCCTTCCTACATCATTAATAACTCATGTATTGAACTAAGGAACTTCGATTATATTTGATTAACAGTTGTTAATTGTAATTTGACGCTTTTAGGAAAATCTTATAAATAATTTAAATATTATTGATTCATTTATAAAATCACATCATATATAATTTGTAAACTATCTTATCATATGATAAAATAAAACAACGAAAAATCTCACCTGTATAGTGGTACACCTGAGTCATCTTTGAACCAAAACACCATATAAACTTTATCAGCTGGATTATCAGAAGATACATCACATGGAAATTTTACGGTTCTGCCTTCAACTGCATCAACTGGGACTAAAGGAACTGTTACTGTAATAAACAAACAAAAAAAAAATAATTTTAATAAATTAATTTCAAAATTAACTACAAAATCATAGATATATAAATATATAAATATTCAATGACAAAATTCACGACAATAAATTTTACAAATAAGTGTTTTCTTGTAGTAATAAACACCTAACCAATACAGTAATTATTTACACATAAAATATTACAACAATTCTAGTTAACGATTTTACAATTATCAATGTGAAAATAAATTTTAATTAATAGATTTTCTTTTGGTAAAGTAGCACATTAAGCACTTAAAATTATATACTTTTATTAAGATTCTAAATGGTACTAAAAATAATAATTTTAAAAAACTCTACACTGGAAATCTCTCTCAACGTATTATTTAGATTCCAAATCGTCATAATTTTTTATGCTTCGTTTTTAACAAAAGTTTTCTAAAGCTTAAAAAAGTTTTAAAATAAACATGTGACCTTTAATGAGTAGATCACGTAGAGAACGGAAAACTTTTTTAATATCATCGTTCTGGACGTAGAATATCACCCCTACATAAAAGATGGGTAGTCGTTAATAATTTAATATTGAAAAGTGTTCATTATAAAATGTCAAAATTTACAAAATGACCAATCCTTTTAATTATTTGAATTAATTTAATTCAATAAAATTTAAAAAACAATCACATAATTGGGCAATTGTTTTATTTAATGGCAGCTATTATTAATGAAATAATATAAGTAGCTTAAAGCTTACACTGTTATTTTTCTTTGAAGTCTCATAAATAATGTACAATTACATCATGACTTTTGCACCAATAAAAATCTCTAACAATACCTTTGATGTAGTTTTAATTTAATTAAATGTTTACTGTCCAGGTGGGTAGTTTGAATAATATACATGATAATGTCGTAATAATGACAGTACGAAATAGTTTTAGCGTTGGAAACTAATTTAAACATTCCAAGACCTCAGTTGAAATATGAATTAAATTTATGATTATTAGTTTTCCGATATTTTATTTCCTCGCATTGTAATACAAGTTAATTTAACAATTGCTGAATTCTATCATGTGTCAGGAAATGTTTAGTTTACAAAGAAAACTGGTTTACATTTGCAGACTTTTTAATATTATTAAACTAAAATTAATTATCAAGCCATCAATTACGAAATTGTTTGAATTTTAAATCAATTCCACTGAAAACAAATATATTAGAATAAAATAAAAAATATAAGTATATAACATTTTTTTTTTTTTTTAAAAAACACTTCTAAAATTATTTAAACTATATGAAGTATTAGGTTAACCTAAATTAGAAAAAATTTCACACGTGCAAACGTACTTAAATCAACTCATTTTTATTTTAGTTTTATAATTTTCCCAATAAAACAACGAAACAGCAAGAATAATATTATCTGATGAAAAGAGTTAAATAATTAAATATTTTTCTCTTGAAGTTGATATATATAACAAATGTTTTTTTTTTTTTTTTCAGAATCGGACCAAAATATAGATGTTACGAGATTAGGTTTAAAATGGTGATAGCTTATTCTTGTTTTAAAAACTTAATAAATTTAATTTATATGATAAATGGCATAGCTTATTTATAATTTAGAACTTTAAATAAGTATTGCGTAAATTTCTATTTCCAAATGTTAATTTTTTTCAAGAAAATGTGAAAAAAAATTAATATTTTCAGAAAATGAATAAAAAATTTGATTTTTCACTGTGAATATTATTAACAAAGCATATAAATTATATAAAAATTAAATTAAATACAATATTTAGGTACATGAAATTTGTTGATTTTGTAAAAATGGTTAAATGAATTAAATGCATCATTTTCTATGGTTTCTATTCACAGAAAAATCTTTCACAAAATTGGTTCAGAAAATGTTTATTAATTTTCAAAATATTGCAATCTATAATTTGAACGGTCAGTGTTAAAGCTTGACATTTTAATTATTTTTCTGCATGGTATCGGCTTATGGCGTGTACACTATGGTGTCATAATAAACCATCGAGTCATTTCAACCTATAATTTAAACCTTGATTATATTTTTATTTTATAAAATATTTTTTTTATTTAGTAATCATGTTCTTGTTACTTGAGTATCATTACAAAATCTCTTTGATGTTGAAGTTTCTAAGAAATATAATTAAAGCACAAACTTTTAACAGAAGTACGTATGATATTATGAAGCCTTTGGAAAGTGACTTAATTTCACGTATTTCTCTAGTAATTTTAACTACTATTCAAAAAAATATTACTAGAAATGAATGTAATAATGATTTAGAATAGATATATTAAACATGTGTTGGTAACGGCTAAGACACTTGGTGAGTCATAAAGCTAAGAAAAAGAAGAATATTCATTTTTAACAGTTTTTTGGTATTTGATAATTTAAAAAATGGAACAGTTAAACCTAATAAATATATTTAAGGACTGTTTGTATTTGAAATTAGTTGCATAACATTACACCCAAATAGTGTAATTTTAACGCATTAATGTAAGTCGAATTTTAGTTAGCATAACAAATATTTATAACGCGTAAATCTGATGTAAGATGTAAGAAATAATTGTATGAAATATTATATTTTTCAAAATTATTGTACAATAAAGAATGTTCATTTTACATACTATACATTTTCCATATACAAATTATTTCTGACAAAGTTTTATTTAAACCTTTTTTAATGAAAATGGCACATCAATAACAAAGAACGTCTTTAAAACTTTTTCAATTTCCTTGTTAAATTCTTCGAACATTCGGTTTATATTTTAGATTCATACAGTCAATTTTGAAAAAAATATCATTCAGAAACAACTGGAAACTATTAAAATATGATTTGATATTATATTTCTTTCATTCAATTTGACATTAGAATAAAATATTTAACATAATTACAAAATAATATTTTAGAATGAAAATATACTTCACACCAATTGTTAATTTACCATTAAAAAAATTAACCAAATTGAATTAGTATATTTAATAAGAAATATAATTAAACTTTTCGTACAATGAATTTAGACCGCTGTCAACATAAGCTACTCACAAGTCTATATGGTGAAATATCTTGAAGACATTATGACACACATTTATAACTATGGATGATTATTATGTAAAAATTGACACTAGAACTTTGCGATAGTTACTAAAAAGTTAAATTCCAAAATAACACTAATTTTTGTAGGCCTTCGAATTTAATTTAGTTCAATCATTTAGTTTTTTGAGATGCCTCAGGCCACTATTATATTAAGTTACGTATAATAAAAATAAATATTATACATTTTTGATTAAACCAAAACTTGAGATTTATGAATAAATATATGACCCAAAGTAGAGCATACAGGAAATATAATGGAATTGCGAATATACGGGTTTCTTTACAAGAAAAATTAAAAATAAAAATGGTTTTAAAAACCTCAGCAGTTTCTATTATATGCATTGTGTTTAATATAATATATTTATAAATTATTTCTGTGGCTTAGCAAACATAATTATACTTTATGTTAACAGGAATTGATTAATAAAAATAATCATAAATGGATAAAATATAGTGAAGTGGTAAATGAGTGAAAGATAGAAGGAATATAAATACCTTTTTTTGTTAGAAATATTATATTAAATTCTGCTTATAATAGAGAAAAATATAAGCGAAATAGTGGTGTTTTTTACTGATGCAAAAGTTGAGAAGCAATAATAAAAGCATTAATTCTTATAAATCGACATTGATGATAGCCTGTGTATAGCATGCATACATAAATATTTACATGTCCTGTTCTACGCTACAGGACGTTTTTATGTATCACTAACTAATTTCCCTAACTTTCCACCACGATTCAATTTACTACCAGTGCAAATTGATTATGAATTTCACGAGATAATATTTTTAAACTAACGACAATTTCAAGCAGTAAATATCATGTATTGATAAATTAAGAAAAATAACACAGACAATCCAAGTAAAATTATATACGAGTAAAAGTAAACAATTCATGTCAGACAAAGCTAGTATAAAATTCACATTGACGCAATCAGTTTTGATTTTTATCAGTGTTGTATTACATATTTAATAATGGCACGCGATGATTAGAAACATTTATAGTAGCGACTGCCAATGAATATTAGTGCAAGACTATAAGATAAAGTTTTTAAGTGTTCAAATTATATAATAATATGATCTTGCCTTTAAATAATATTCTGCATATCGTTAAATTATGTGTAAAGCAGTAACGCAAAAATCGTGTACCACTTTAAGTACACCGCAGTAAGATCCAAGGTGATACCATCCCATACTGGTTAAAAGTGGAAAAATAAATTACGTTTTAAGTACAATAATATTATTGTTAGCATATACTTAATGCCACCAAAACTGCCATTGCGTATACTATTTTTGCATTACACTACAGCGATTGTATAACAACAGAAACCAAAAACTATACGCGTGCAAAAACCATGAATAAAATTATCATATTCCGCTGCCAAACAACGTCACGTGTAAACGAAAATTATTAGACCGTCTAACAAACGAACATAATTTTATATTATATTGTGGAATACGAGTAGAGATGTGCATTATACACGTACAGTTTTCGGTGACTTTCCAAACGTCAAATGCTACGGGAAAACCATATTAATTCCATCAACTTGATTATTGTCGTGAACATTATTACGAACAATATATCATGTGTCTGCATGCTAATTCATGTAGACCAATAATGAACGAATTTCCTGAAATTTCGTTTATAAATTCTATTAAAAAGAAATTTTTTTATAAATTGACTATTCGGTGCAAATGTATAATAATTATTAATTATTATAGCCACACGACGACTACTTGAGATACTTACTCGTAAGTATTTTATCCACGTGTAATGTAAATATTATGGCATTGAATTTTTTAGCTATTAATTGTTTTATAATATTAAAATCCAACATAATCAACATAATCGGACTCCAAATATATTTTTTTCAAAAAATACTTGAATCAAACACATAATTTCTAACACTTT